TCAAACACTGGAAAGACCATACACTGGTTCAAGCAGACACACGGTGCTGTTCCTGTTGACATTGTATACAAGATGATAAGCTACCAGCTTAAGGAAATATATGTAAATTATTTAAATGGTTTTCAACAAGACCACTTTGTTATGTCTCTAAACAAAGAAAACACATCACTAAGTATTTTAAATGTGGATATTTCTGATTCTGCTCTGTACTTCTGTGGTTGGGGCTCTTGGGAGATTGTGTTTGGGGATGGAGCACATCTAGACATTGAAGGTAAACTTTATTAAAAGCACTATTAGAAAAAATGCTTTCACACATTATACCATAGCTGTTCACAGTAATAGTTTTTCAACACTGTTTTTGTGATGCTATGTAGAGAAGTTGTTTTGATTCGCTACAGACTCCACACAGAAACGCCAACTAAGCCGAGGTTTGAGCCAGCGACCTTGCTGTGAGGCGAAAGCACTACCTACTGCGCCACTGCCTCGCCATTATTATTTAAATTATTATTATTTTTTCCATCTGTATCCAGTTATTCGTATGTATATAATTTTCTTAAATTGGTATTTATGTATTTATTGTTGTGTTAAGTTAATGAATGAGAGGCTAGGGGGTGGGATTAATAATAGAAAATACATTACTGTATACCTTTCGATATTTAATTTGTATTGTCATACAAAAGACCAATAAAAAAGATTGAAATAAAATGTTAGTTTCATTGTTGATGTTTTAAACTCTGGGCATGTGACAAGGTGAAATCTGTAATTTTGACACCTAAAAGGAGGTTGAATAGTATGAAAAATATATAACAGAAAGCTAGTAATTTGTTTAAAAGTAGGTTTTATTGTTAGTTTGACAAAGAAAAAGGAATTTAAAATGAAACTGTATATATTTTTGCATATATAATCAAAGGACAAAGTGCCCGTAGTTGAAGAATTACTCATTAGTAGACTGTCTGCTTAACACCTGTTGATGCTGCTCCTTCAACAGACATTTAACTGACTATAAGAAACTTTAAGTACATGTCAACTTACACTAACCCCAAACTAACAGTCTACTTATAATCTAATGAGAAAAATGCAACTAAAATTCAACAAACGGACCATCAAAGTAAAGTGTGACCTATTTTTTGTGATTGTATGTACAGTATGTCATATGAAATTACCTCACATTAACAGCCCTCAAGCCTATTTAGGTCTTTTCTTAATTTGAATTATCCAGTCAAGCTGCAGTGATTTGTGGACCAGTTTTATAGACTCAGTAAGTATTTTTATCAAGTAGACCATAGGGATTGTTGCTCTCCGTTTACTATATTGAGTCCTGTTGCTGGGTGATTTTATACCCTGTATTTCTGTGTACATCTGTAATACATGCAAACAGTGTTTTAGGGGTTTGGAAATGCTACATTTTATAGGAGAAGAAAACCCCGAATTTGGACATTGTAAGTTTAGCATTGAGTATTTAAAGCAGTACATTACCTATTGCCTATCACAACTACAGGATTTAAAAGCAATTATGCATTTATAATTGATAACATAGTCATTTAAAAACACACAGGCCAAATAAACTTGTCAATTATTAATACAATATGCAATAATAATAATAATACCCAAAAATAAATGCCTATCCAGGTTTTCAGAAAAGAAAACAAGACATTATACATTTTAATGAAATTGCACATTAGGCCTTTGTTTTAATTTTTTTATACAGTATACTTGAATATACTGTACACTTACTGGCCACTTTATTAGGTACACCTTAGTAGTACCAGGTTACACCCCCTTTTGCCTTCAGAACTGCTTCAATCCTTCGTGGCAGAGATTCAACAAGATACTGGAAATATTCCTTAGAGATTTTGCTCCATATTGACATGATAGCATCACGCAGTTGCTGCAGATTTGTCGGCTGCACGTCCATGATGCCAATCTCCCATTCCACCACATCCCAAAGGAGCTCTATTGGATTGAGATATGGTGACTGTGGAGGACATATGAGTACAGTGAACTCATTGCCATGTTTAAGAAACCAGTCTGAGATGATTCACGCTTTATGACATGGCGTGACACTGTGGTCATAAAGGGATGGACTTGGTCAGAAACAATACTCAGGTAGGCTCAATTGGTACTAATGGGACCGAAGTGTGCCACGAAAATCTCCCCCACACCATTACATCACCGCCAGCCTAAACCGTTGATACAAGGCAAGATGGATCCATGCTTTCATGTTGTTGATGCCAAATTCTGACCCGACCATCCGAATGTGGCAGCAGAAATGGAGACTCATCAGAGCAGGCAACGTTTCTCCAATCTTCTATTGTCCAGTTTTGGTGAGCCTGTGTGAATTGTAGCCTCAGTTTCCTGTTCTTAGCTGACAGGAGTGGCACCCGGTGTGGTCTTCTGCTGCTGTAGCCCATCTGGCTCAAGGTTGGAAGTGTTGTGTGTTCAGAGATGCTCTTCTACAGACCTCGGTTGTATCGAGTGCTTATTTGAGTCACTGTTGCCTTTCTATCAGCTGGAACCAGTCTGGCCATTCTCTTCTGGCCTCAACAAGGCATTTGCGCTCACAGAACTGCCGCTCACTGGATATTTTATGCGTGAAAATCCCAGTAGATCAGCAGTTTCTGAAATACTCAGATCATCAGCAATCATGTCAAATGCAAAGTCACTTAAATCACCCTTCTTCTCCATTCTGATGCTCACTTTGCAGACATTTTTTCACCTTTAAAGCAAAGCAATACAAGCCAATATTCTAAATGAATTCATAACATCAAAATAATTATGGGAAATTTCTTCATAACTGTTCATGGAGCCATAATCTATGGACTTTCACATAGTGAATATATTCATTCATTTACAAATATCATACAATTAAGCATTCCCAGTGATAACTATAATATTTATCTCTTAAGTGTGTGAAGTTATTGGCTGAATAAAGGAAAATGAATGAAAGTCAGGTAAACGTATCTTTTTAAAGAGCATCAGTACAAGCATGCATTACTATTGCTGAACACTTGTAGCAGCAGCATGTAATTCATTTAGCAACATGTCAAAACAAACTGATGAAAACATCAACAACAGACAACATGAACAACAGACCCGGGGAAACGCAAACGTGCAGAAGGTTGAGAAGCCTGTGAAACGCTGCAGCCGAGCAGGCGTCTGTTTGCCATGATTGTGGAAACAAATGAGCAAACAAACCCAGATGCCCCTGAATAAATGTCACCTGATGTGTCAAGAACGATAGTTAGAGGCGAATGAAACAAAAGTAGGGCAACAGTGGCCTCCAGGCTGGTGCAACAAGCAGGAAACTGGGCCAGTGGGATATTGAGGCTTCTGCTATTCTATACTGTATTCATACTCCAGAACATGAAGTATGCACTTTCCACACACATGCATTCAACTGTTTTGTTTTGTTTTCCTGTTCAGCCGTCTGTGATCATGGCGGATCCTCCAACAGGCCCACCTGAGGACATCAACAAAACCAGCTTCTGGATGGTAAGAAAAATGAAAACTGTGAGAAAATCTCTCTTAGTGGTGTCTTAGCAGTTAGCAATGCAGATATTAAGTTTTGATAAACAGTCGAAGCCAGATTTATTAGCCCCCCTGTATATCGTTTTCCTCAATTTCTGTTTAAACGAAAGATTTTCTAAGCGTAATAGTTTTAATTACTGATTTCTTCTATCTTTGCTATTATGACAGCACATAATATTTGACTAGATATTATTCAAGGTGGTAAGGCAGTGGCGCAGTAGGTAGTGCTGTCGCCTCACAGCAAGAAAGTTGCTGGGTCGAACCTTGGCTCAGTTGGCGTACAGGTGAATTGGGTAGGCTAAATTGTCCGTAGTGTATAAGTGTGTGTGTGTGTGTGTGAATGTGTGTGTGTGGATGTTTCCCAGAGATGGGTTGCGGCTGGAAGGGCATCCGCTGTGTAAAAACTTGCTGGATAAGTTGGCGGTTCATTCCGCTGTGGCCACCTTGGATTAATATAAAAGGATTAAGCCGACAAGAAAATGAATGAATTAATTAATCAAGGTAGTAGTAAACAGCTTAAAGTGACATTTAAAGGCTTGATTAGGGTTAGCTAGGTTAGTTAGGGTAATTAGGCAAGTCAGTGTATAACGATGGTTTGTTCTGTAGATAATCGAAAAATATGTATTGCTTAAGTGAGCTAATAATATTGACTTTAAAATGGCTTAATAAAATTTTTTTACTAAAATTAAAAACATTTGGTAAATATTTATAAAGAAAAAAATTCACAGGAGGGTAAATAATTTTGACTTCACCCGGATTTACTGTAGGAAATATTACTGAATGGCTTCTGCATGGTGAGAACTCTGAACATGGCGAGCTTTCTGTGTAGCCTGCAGTGGCTCAGAGGTGGCACCACATAAAATAATGTGTAAAATAATACTAAACAATAGAAATAATTAGGAATAAATAGGAGTATTTAATACAATAGTAATAAAAGACTAAATTGTCTATTAAAGTGATGATTCACCCAAAAAATGAAAATGTACTCACTATTTACTCACCATCAGTTGGTTCTATAGTAGGAAAAACAAATACTGTTGAATTATACTGTATGTATTTTGGTTGTACAATAGAATATTATTAATATTATAACCTATTTAGCTATTTATGATGATGAAATATTTCAGAATTTACATATTTTAACCTGTATCTATTTTTATTTCTCAAATGTTACTTGTTTAATAAGAAGTCCCAATAATATTAATACCAAATAGTACAGTTGAAGTCAGAATTATTATCCTCCCTGTATATTTTCCCCCAATTTCTGTTTATTAGAGCAAAGATTTTTCAGCACATTTCTAATCATAATAGTTTTAATAACTCATTTCTAATAACTGATTTTTTTTTATCTTTGCCATGATGACAGTACAGAATATTTGACTAGATTTTGTTCAAGATACTAGTACATATATATATATACATATATATATATATATATATATATATATATATATATATATATATATATATATATATATATATATATATATATATACATGCATACATATATACAGTATATATATATATATATATATATATATATATATATATATGTCGCATATATATATATATATATATATATATATATATATATATATATATATATATATATATATCATATATATATATATATATATATATATATATATATATATTGTGTGTGTGTGTGTGTGTGTGTGTGTGTGTGTGTGTGTGTGTGTGTGTGTGTGTGTGTGTGTGTGTGTGTGTGTGTGTGTATATATGTATATATGTATATATGTATATGTATAT